CTGTCCTGAATTCACTATTCTTCCCAGATCAGTGGCAACAATTACGGTCTTTGAGATGCCGTGGCAGAGACAGCTCCACCTCTAAAAAGCGCCAATGAAACTAGGTCAATGGTCGCTATCAGGAGTACATCTTGGAAAACCAAAATCTGGTATTAATGTACCTAATATTTCCACGTCAATTTCTTAAGGTTATTCTATGTTTTGATCCTTTATTTGCTTTGAGACCAGAGATCTCCAGAATTTTGTTAAATGACACTTCTATAGGAAACCCTGTCACTGTCACTTTTATGAGCTGACAGCACAACACGGATCTTGCACCTTGTTCTTAATCTATCTGGTAGGCAAAAGGCGTTCTCATCCCTTTTCCCATGCTGAGTGCTCCCCTTATCTACCAAATGACATATCTGGCCTTATGCTGGTAACAGGGAACAAATCTACATGCTGTGCAACCTTACTGTTTTTTCTATAGTGGTCTTTGTCATCAAGTTGCTTGAGCACCTGTGGTTTGGGAGCTAGAGATGGTCTTGTATGGTAGCATCGTTATACAACTGTTTTACACATTTTTTTTTAACATATTTTTTATTGGGTGCTTTACTTTGTTATTCCTGCAATAGGCATATGGTGTTTTACACCTAATAGGCACTGGTCCTTCCCCTGCAATCAGGGGCGTATTTACCGCGAGGCACACAAGGCGTTTGCCTAGAGCGGCACTTTCCTTGGGAGCGGCCCTAGACAAACGCCTTGTACTGCGTACTGACAGCATGTTTGTAAAAGCTCCGTTTAAAGATTAAGAAACATAATTTAAGGTAACTGCTTTCATTAACATTGTGGGGAGGGAAAATAATTGACTTTAATGTCACTTTAAAGTAAAAAATCCCCCACCCCCCCTCCAATGTTAGTGTAAGGACTTACCTTAAATGATGCCTCTTGATCCGATCATCTTACCTGCAATAACTAGGCCTTACATATTCATCCTGTCCAGGGTGTAAGATTATTTGGCCCATTACATCATATAGGAGAAATCATTGATCACACTAGCTCCTCTTTAACCCCTGATGATGTTGGATACACCTCACAGGGACAGGAGAACGAAATTGTTTCATTATGTGTTTATGCTTCCTCATGATATCTGGTTGAGTACAAGGACTGACAAGGCCAGAAATGGAAGGCCTGCTGCAGGGGCAGCATAGCTTTAGGACATGCTGTGTGACAGTGGACATGCTGTCAATTGACCTTTTCAACCACTGCAGATGTCTTTACCATTGTTATACCTATTTTTTTCTCCCAAATGCTGTATACTTCTTAAGACCCACCTATAACTCTTTCTTGCTTACTACTAGACGGCACCCCCCTACCTGTTATCTATAAGCTTAGACTACTGCAAACGTCCTGGTCCTTGGTGTACCCTTACACACTAAGACAAGAATGATAATTTACACAACACACTGGGTGTTTAAATTATCATTAATAAGCTGGGTGTTGGGCAGCTGCAAAGTAGAAAAATTTTACCTTGCAGCAAGCCATACCCTGTACAGAACACCCAGCTTCCGGACACTGAAAGGCTCTGGTCGCATCACGGAGCCCATTTTCATTATCCTCCAATCAGAAAATGTCTGATAATTTTTTAAAGATACAAGACATGATGTGACTCGAGGAGGAGAGATGTCACATCCCAGCCCCCTTTTCGCCTCCTCCAATCACAGAAAGATTGTAACACTGCAAAGAGAAAAGAGGTGGAGTGCTGCATTAAGAAGGAAAGCAGAGAAAAGTGAGAGATGAAGCAATGAGAGTGTTAAGCTGAAAATGTGCATTTAGAGCTCTCCTCTCACGCGGCCCCGCTCATCCTCCTGTGACAGATCAGGATGGAGAGCATTGTGGGGGAGGACACAGCTGTGAGCTGACACAGGAGGCTGAGCAGGCAGTAGGGGGGGAGGAGTCAGCTGTCAAAAGAGGCCAAGCTCTCCTCCCGCACTGCTGGCTCAGCCTCCTGTGACAGCAAGTCAGGATGGAGAGCGGGTAAAAGCAGTCAGCAATCAGCTGATCGCTGACTGCTTGTAAATAATTGAGGGCATAGTATGTTTACTGGTCCCCAATTATGAATGAACAGAAAGTGATCTACATCACTTCCTGTTCATTCTGCGTTCCAGAGCGTTCGGCCTCTGGGACGCACGCCGGCCAGCTCCCTGCATTCAGGGGCGGGAAGGGGTGTGGCGGTGCATTGAAGTCAATGGCACCACAGCCACACCCCCGTCCGCAGTGCGATCTGCAAAAATAGTGCTTGCCGTATTTTTGCAGATCGCACTGGACCGGAACACAGGCACTAATGTGCCTGTGTTTCAGGTGTGGGCGATCGCACTGGGGCGTAGCTGCGCTGCCCCAGTGCGAGGCGGGAGGCTTGCGTTCCAGAGGCCGAACCCTCTGGAACGCAGACTTTGTGGTGTGAACCGGCCCTTAAATGGGAAATATCAGGGGTCTGCTTAGTTCCCTGTTATTTCCCAGGGCCCCTGAAAGTAAAGTTAAAAAAGAAAAATATTTAAAAAATAAATAAATAAAAATTAGATATTTAAAAAAAATTAAAAAAGGTTAGAAAACTGTTTTTTGGGTTTCGGCCTGACAATTTTTTTATTTTCCGTTTCGATCATAAAATTCCATTTCGGTGCACCTCTATTTACATTTCCATATTAAATATATATCAGGTGTGCAGCAAAATATATCTAGCAGTATTGAACTTAGCTTTACATGCAGTCAGGCATATAAAAAAAACATCATGGCAAAAAAGCAGTTTCACATGCAATATAGAATACATATTTTGCAAATTTGATTTTGTTTCCACAAACATAAAGGCACAGCAATGCAAATCATTCCCCTCCTCCCTGCTCAAAGACGGACAGCAGCTAGAAACTGGTCTGTCCCTTGTACTGGACATGAAGTTCATGGAAGCTGAGCTGAGAGAGTTGGAGCCGGCTATTCAAAAACATGATGCCCTGTAAGTGCTTGGGCAAAAATGTTAAGAAATACTTTGCTGGGCAATGTATTTTTGTTTGATCTAGGGCAGAATCAACTAATCGATTTAAATCGATAATTATTGATTAGTTGATCCAGATCACCTGCTTCTCTCCTCC